CTCCAAAGGGAGAGAGAGGAAAGTCAACAGCACGCAGTAGTTTCGAAGGGACGGCACTGGTGTTTTTGAGAAGAGGAAGCGAAAACGTAGAAGGGTTTGGATGAGCAGTGGGGGTGTCGGCTTAGACGATGAGATGATGCTACACAGGATCCCGAGACAAATGTGATCGTGTGCCAAGTTCTGGAGGCTGTCGGAAGGAAAGGAATTGAAACTGAGCTGCCCCTTCCCATAACTTAGCCTGCACCACTGGTGAGCCAGCACCCTTCCTTGTAGGTGATGAACTTACAAACGGATAGGTTTTCTGTTGTCTCCCCTCAAAAATGCAATGCTTTTGTAGCCCTGATACCAAAACGTATACATGCCTCTATGGTTGCGGTACAATGGAGACTAAATCAGCAGCAGACCCCTTGGGGCTACAAACACATCACAGCGCAGGATTAGAAGTAGGCGCATGCGCACACACACGACTGTGCATGCGCACCCTTCCGGGCATGCTCACGCATACGCCCGCGCATGCACATCTGCACATACGTACGCATGCATATGCACATGCACGCTTGCACAAAGCACAGTAAAGAGCAAAGGGAAAGGAAACCAAGGGGGATGGGATATTCTCACGGCACTTTTCCTGCTGAGGTGCGGCAGCCTCAGGGGACCTAGGCAGCAGGGGTGGAGGCCGTGGCTTTAACATCCAAGGGATGTGGATGCATAAATCTGAGCTCTCCAGTGAATCAGCGCATCTGTGAAAAGACTAGAAAAACTGTCCATAAAAGTGAAAGAAGTAAAAGTCGCCTTGCCATCTCTTTGAAGCTCTTGAGTAAGAAATTAAAACCTAAATGAGTATCGGGGCACCTGGGTGGGTTAGTCGGCAAAGTGTCCAACTTCGGCTCAGGTCATGATCTCACAGTTTGTGAGCCCCACGGCAGGCTCACGGCTGTCAGTCACTGCAGAGTCTGCTTCGGATCCTCTGTTCTCCTCTCTCAGCTTGTGGGGCTGAGCCCCTTCCCAGCCCCTTCCCAGTTTGTGCTCTCCGCCCCCCAAAATAAATACTTTTTAAAAACCTAAATGAGTATGGAAGTCCAAATGTACACTAAATGGCGTGGCAAAGTCAGTCACATTTTTTTTTTCATACAGAAATTGGTACCTTGGGAGTACCTTGGGAACCACAGAAGAAGCTAACTCAACCCCACTGTAGGAACATTCCTATAGCCCAGTGTGCTTGGGGGCCCCATGCTTTAGGGGGGAAAACAACCTCTGCTGAGTATTAGCTCAGACTCAGAAGTTACAAACAGCACAAGGAAGAAATCCACCATGAGGTCAGCACACACAGCAACCAGACGTATGTGAATCCCAACAAAGACTGGGGGGAGGAGGCAAGGCAGAGAATAATCTGAAAGATGGTGGGTTTGAAATTATTAAATATAGAAGTTTTTTTTAAGTCATAACAGAAGAATGAGATATTATGATAAAAATGAACGGGCAGAATTTTTAAATGGCCAGGTGAATATAAGAACTAGAATAGATTAAATGAGAGCATAACGCTAAATATTACTAATGAAAGAATAAATGAGCTGGAAAATAGATCTGCGGGAAGCATCTAACCACAGGACAGAGTGATAAAGGAATGGAAAATACTAAAGCAAAGTGAATAACCTAGAGAACAGAATGAGAAGGTTTAGAATACTTAAAACACAATCAGAAGAAAAGAGAATTGTCGCGTGTCCTTAGGGGCTTGCAGCTCAGAGCAATGTGATGCCACTACGCACCTTATTAGAACGGCTAAAACCCGAAACACTGACAACACTGATAAATGCTGGTGAGGATGTAGAGTGACGGGAGCTCAACAGGGGACACGAAATGGCACGGCCACTTCGGAAGAGGGCTTGGCAGTTGCCCACGAGGCTAAACATCTTCTTTTTTTTCTTTTTTTTTTAATTTTTTTTTTCAACGTTTATTTATTTTTGGGACAGAGGGAGACAGAGCATGAACGGGGGAGGGGCAGAGAGAGAGGGAGACACAGAATCGGAAACAGGCTCCAGGCTCTGAGCCATCAGCCCAGAGCCTGACCCGGGGCTCGAACCCACGGACCGCGAGATCGTGACCTGGCTGAAGTCGGACGCTTAACCGACTGCACCACCCAGGCGCCCCAGAGGCTAAACATCTTCTTACCACACAATCCTACCATCGTGCTCCTAGGTCTTTACCCAAATGAGCTGGAAACATACGTCCACACAAAACCTGCACACAGATGTTTATGTAAAGCGGCATTATTCGTAATTGCCCCAACTTGGAAGCAGCCGAAATATCCTTCAGTAGGGGAATGAGCAAACTGTGCATCTATGCAATGGCATATTATTCACAAATAAAAGCAAGCTGTCAAGCCACGGAAGGACGTGGAGGAACTTAAATGCATATTGTTCTCAGCACAAGCCCTGCACTGTAGCCACTGCTGACCAGGAGCTTAAAGGAAGGATCCAAAAGATCTCTGAAGTTCCCATCATGTGCATTTCCAGCCATAAGTACAACATGGAACAGACGCCAGATGATTACGAAGCCCCTCGGTTCTAATTCTGAATAGAGCTCCTCTGCCTTCATTTATCAACTTTTACTGCTGCCAGTTCGTATAGCAATATGCTCCAGCTTGAATTATTACACTTACCCATTTGCTCTGTTATGGGCTGAGTATGGTTACATACACTCACTTTTTGACATTTTGAAATTGATATTTTGTATCATTTTAAATTTTGTTGCATCTTTTTATAAATCAGATGACTGCCCACATTTAAAAAAGATGCATGTTGGGGCAGCTGGGTGGCTCAGTCGGTTGAGTGTCCGACTTCAGCTCAGGTCATGATCTCACGGTTCGTGAGTTCGAGCCCCACGTCGGGCTCTGTGCTGACAGCTCAGAACCTGGAGCCTGCTTCCAATTCTGTGTCTCCCTCTCTCTTGGTCCCTCTCCCCCTCATGCTCTGTCTCTTTCTCTCAAAAATAAATAAATGTTAAAAAAACTTTTTAATTAAAAAAATATAAATAAATAAAAAATATGCATGTTGTTACTGTGAAAGAAACCTGTCTGAAAAGGCTACTGTGTGCATTATGGTTCCAACTATGGGATGTTCTGGAAAGGGCAGCACTATAGAGACCATTAAAAGATCAGTGCTTGTCAGGAGTTGGGATGGGGCATGAGGAGAGGTGAATCGGGGGCACACAGGGGAATTTTAGGGCAGTGAAACTATTCTATACGATACTGTAATGGCAGATAACATGGCATTAAGCATTGGGCAAAACCCACAAAACCATACAACACAAAGCGTGAACCGTAATGTGAAGTGTGGAATTTAATTAATAATGTATCAATACCTGTTCATGAATTGTTAAAAAACATCTGGCACTGGGGTGGTAATTTTTTAATAGAGGAAACTGAGGCAGGTTGGGAGGGAGGATGAGGGAAGGAGTGTATGGGAACTTGCTGTACCCACTGTACTTCTCAATTTTTCTGTAACCCTAAAATGACTCTAAAAAGTGCATTCTATTAAGTTTTTAAAAATGGGGGGGGGGAGAGGGAGAGTCGATATTCAAAGTAAGGATGGGTGAGATTTTTCCAGAATTGAAGTTATAAGTCACACGTCAAAGAACACCACCGGGTCACAGAGCAGAAAAAATCCTAAAGCAAATCCACATTTCAATTGCACACCGAAGACAAAATGAAAGTCTCAAAAACAATCAGAGAAAAAGCACAGAGTGCGTAGAAGGTAGCAACAGATTACTCACCGACTTCTCAACGACTATAATCCAGATCAGAAGAAAACTCAGTAACATCTTCAAAAGGTCCAGAAAAAAATCATTATCCACCTAGATTGCTCTGTTCAGCCAAATCATTCAAGAGTGAGAAAGAAAGCAACTTGAAAGCATTAATTGTGCTAACCTCTTCAAAAGGGAATCAAAGAAACATTTGCAGTATTTACTTTTCTCTGCCTGTTTCATATTATATCTTAGATAACACACACATGCCCCAAAATCATACTTTCCATTTAACATTATATACGTCTTCTGTGATTTTCACTGTCCTTGAAGGATAATTTTTAAAGTCTGAATCATAGCGTAAGTGCCATAGTTTCGTGAACTGCTAGACAGTTTAATTGCTAGACGTTTAGATCAGAGAATTTCCTCCTAAATGGCAATTGGATGAAACGCACATAAAAGATAAAATAATGCTACGCACGCCTACTTTTTCTTTTCCATTGAAAACTCCACCTGCTTCTCTAGCTGCCTGCTCAAGTGGCGAGGTGTTTAGTTTGCAAGGAGCCATTCAGAGCTGATCGAGAAGCCTCTTTTCCATTCGTGCTTTTTGCCCCAAGTGCACTGGTGGTGGGTGACTTCCTGGAATAGCCCCAGATGTTCTAAAGGAAAATGAAAGAAGCAACATATATTCGAGGACTGCCGTGTGCCAGGCATGGTGCTGGGCGTTTCCATCCTGTGAACACTACTATTTATGAACACTTACCATAAGCCGGGCACTACCTTTAGAAAGTTTGCACCCATCAGCTCATTTGGTCCTCCCCAGAAGTCTAGGAAGTATGCACTATTATTATATCCATTTTATAGACAGGAGAGATGTAGTTCTGAAGGAGCTAGGAAGTGATGAAGTCGTACCCGGAACATGAGCCTTTCCATGGTAGGGCCCTATTCCAGGCTTGGGTGGGTGTCAGAGACACAGGTAGAGAAAAGCAGGAAGGGCAGAACGCAATGACACTAAAACAAAAACAAAAACATGACCCGGACTGAACGTAACTATCCATTATCTCACTTCATCCTCCTCACGAGACCAGGTAGGTATTGTTACCGTTATTAGCTTCGCCCATCCAGTGAGTGCACGCAGACATGGTGCGCTCAGGAACTTGCCTGCAGGTTGCATGTCCAGCTGTGGGTCACCCGCGTGTGTCCAGAACCAGAGTGCATGCCGTGCTCCTCACTGCCTGTGGCTCTTGTCCTCTGTCCAGGCGAGATGGAGGAGCTGGAGACACTGTGGCTCACGGGGATCTGCCACAACGAGAAGAACGAGGTGATGAGCAGTCAGCTGGACATCGACAACATGGCGGGCGTGTTCTACATGCTGGCGGCTGCCATGGCCCTCAGCCTCATCACCTTCATCTGGGAACACCTCTTCTACTGGAAGCTGCGCTTCTGTTTCACGGGCGTGTGCTCCGACCGGCCGGGGCTGCTGTTCTCCATCAGCAGGGTCAGTACCTCGGGCGGCTCGTTCTCGATGCAGCGGCAGGTCCAGAAGAGCACGGGGCTCCCAGAGAACCGAGGACGCCGGACTCCCGGGTGGGGGGCGGTCTGCACATCCTGCCCTCGCTCACCAACCCCTGGTGGGCTTGTCGTAAAGGCATCCAGATTCTGTGTGTTCCTAACCCAGGGGTAGCGAACCCAGGTGACCACGGAAGCCAGAGAGGGAAGGAAAATGGATAATGCAGGCTGGGCATGAGAAAAATAGCACCAGCGAGATAAAAACAGCCAATGTCCCTGGGGTTCAAGGTGAGGGAACACGTGAGAATGCCTACCACACCCGGAGGGGGCAGTCCTCAGGTCCTGCTGAGTATGGTCTCATGGGAATTCAAGGGCAATACTATCAGGTCTTGTAGGTTGTCAGAGAGAAAGTAGTCATCTGATTTTATGTGAAGCCTTTCCACTCTTTAAGTATTAGTAACTAATTCCTTTTTTTTTTATACAACACCAAAATACCACGTAGGCCAAACGAAGTAGTCTGTGGCATCCACCGTTAGCAGCCGATGTGCTTTACGACACGACTACCATTCCTGTGCAGGATGTTACAGTTGATGCACACATCCCCCTGGGACACATATGCCAAAACCAAATATACATCCCATGCCATGCTCTGCATCCGCACATCTAACAAAACACAAAGAGCGTCTGCATTACAACAGAGCCTCCAACGAAACAAAGACATGAAGGGCCACGAGGAAAGGCACACATGTCAAACAGAAAACAAAATACACATTCAACCCAGCATGAACTACAGCCACAAACACACATGCTATAACGAACTCACCCACAATGCAAGGAAAACCCCTCTCCTGTTACGCAATGTGGCATGTGTATATTACCATAAAAAGGCACATATGGGTCATCAGTAATAGCAACGATCATGGAAAATGCCTGTATTTGTGCAGCACAGATAGGTGCCGAGCACCCTGTACGGACTTCATCCTCTTCCTCTCATTTCACCTACAAGCCATTTCTGTGAGGCGTGTAACTGTTCTTCATCCCAGATTACAGATGGGGAATGAGGTTAGAGGATCATCCACGGCTGCCCAGCCTTGGTGGAGCCGGGACTTGAGCCGAGGTGGTGTGGTACCAGCCAGAGCACAGGTTCCTACACAAGCAACAAACATCAAATACAAGCAACACAAGAGATTTGATACAGATCATACTACATGACACATATGTGCACGCAACTGACATGATCTTATCACTTACATCATATGTACATATCATTCACTCATCTTCTAACAGAATATAACATCTATTTACCTCACAGCCCATCAGTCATTCCTCCCTCCATCTGCCTAGTTCATCCATCCATCCATCCGTTTCACCCGTACATCCATTCATTTCATCCATCCATCCGTCCATCTATCCATTCACCCACCCATCCATCCATCTGTCCATCCACTCACCCATTTCACCCATACATCCATTCATCTCATCCACCCACCTGTTTTATCTATCCATCTACCCATTTCATTCATCCATCTGTACATCCATCCCTACACCCATTTACCTATCCATCCATCCATCCATCCGGTCCATTTATTTATCTACCTATTTCTCCCATTTATTCACCTTGGAATGTTTTCACTCTGAAAGAATTTAATGAATTGAGACATGAAACATGGCGAAAAACACTTGGGTACAAACACCTGGTTTTATATGCTAATGGTTATTGGGAAAACTAAATAATCATTTTTAAAGGAATTTGTGTTTTCTTAGCATTTGGTGATTTTAAGAACTTTGGAGATTCAGAAGGCACATATTAGCTTAGTGAGGAAGATTTATTTTTTTCTGTTCAGTGGCACTCTTAACTTGCATTCTGTGCAAATACATATTTCCTAATTAACTTGATGGCATCTAAACACAGACTGCTTAAAAATAACAATGTGCACGCATCTAGCTAGGTATTATGCCAACTTTAAGCTAATTCTCTCCACCAATTACTAAAGGCTTTCCATACCCAAATGACTCTGGGATTATCATGAGCAAATGCACACTGTTGCATTTCCTTGTAAATCCTGCTTGGATCTGGAAGAGCGTTTCCTCTGAGATACCATTAAGGCAGCCAGTTGAGAGGACTGTCATTATGAGGCATGAACTAAATCCCCCGCTTCCCTTGCAAGCATCTTGAGCAGGAATGGGGGGCAGTGGGGCACACAGGAGTAGGCATCGTCAGCTTTACAGGCTGGAATCTGAACTTCAGTCTCCCCTCCCTGGGGGAGAGAGGACCCGTGCCTCACAGGAGCACTGCAAGGACTTTTGTGCCCCTTGGGGACTCCCATCCACCAGCATTCCTGTGTCCTCAAAGGCTGCAGGGAATGCTACTTGAGCACTGACCCTCCTTCTCCCCAGATACTATGTTTTAAATAAGTGCAGCCCTAATATGTGTGAAGAGAAGGATTTCATATTTAATATACTTTTCCTGCCTCTCTCATTTGTTAGGGAACTCAGAATGAGCTCAGCACCCAATTTCACGCATAGCAGGCCTTTCAGATTGCTCAAGAAAAATGTTCCTCCTTTCTGATCAAGGGCTAACACACATCTCTTAAATTCGTCTTATGGGCACGTTCACACACATGCCAGCTTACATGTATATTCTTCACACCGAGCAGGCCATACACACAGAAACAGAAGCGCCCTCGTTGTAGGCACGTAAACATTTTTTTTTTTTAAATTTTTTCAACATTTACTTATTTTTGGGACAGAGAGAGACAGAGCATGAACAGGGGAGGGGCAGAGAGA